ACACATTGACACCTGAACCGCCCGTAACCACCCGAACCTTGCTGGTTGTTTCACCGGTGTCAGTTCACCAATGTTCGTAAGTTAGTATTGTTTGTAATTGTTCATTTTACTCGCCCCAGTCTCATTTCCTTGACAGCCGATCACGTTTGAAGAAGACCTTGAACACCATTCACGGCTTTAACCCAATTGAGTATACACCCACTGTAAAACATTGTTAATAAACATTTGCATGGTAAAAGAGCTATTGACTCTCGATATGTTTGTTTGATTACATGCGAAGCGTTGTTTATCATTCACATGTTGCACTCACATAGCAACAAAGTCAAACAAAGTCTGTCCCTTAACATCCAAAATAAAGTTTCAATGGAAATAATCATCAAATAGATGACTTGAAATTCACTTAAATTATTCAGATCAAACAATGCAGGATGGTTTCATATTTTTTAAGGTTACGTTATTGTTGGTCATTTTCTTTTGCAAACTTTGTGACTCCTAACCTACTAACACCCATGAAAGCATCAATAGTAAACTTTTGTTCCTCACTTACAATTATTATAGACATGGGCGAACTGACATAAAAGCATTAGCAAACTGACATTGGATATGGGCAAATCAACCTCATACATTGGTGAACTGACATTTTTGGTGAAACAACCACTTACCATTAGGTATAGTCCGTGTCCTTTAGCTGTTTCTTTAAAAACAGTTAGATATCCACCCTAAGTAGCTTTTTCTTTCAAAACTGATCCTGAACACCAACGGAGTAACTAGTTGTTAATGGCGTCAGTAGTTCACAGCAATGAAGTTTCGTGTTGTTGGAATACATGCCTACTAATTCATGCATGAGCAACATATTTACATTATTTGGCGTAGCCCAAGAAAATAGAAATATTGCTATTGCTTTAAATCTGTTTCACATGAACTGAGCCATCATTTTTCAAAATTTGTTCACTTGCTATAGTCCCCAGCTGCGTTTCAAGCAAAATAATTGCCATGACAAAAATTGCCTAGTTTTCGTACCATAAAGTCAATTAATAAACCTCAGTTTTCGTTTCATGGTTTTCTTTTTTCACCAATTGTGGCGGTCACTTAGAAGGCGCCAAATATTCATCCCGTGACCTAAGAAAGCAACGATTTCTAAGTAATTCTTTTCTCTCTTAGGTTTAAAGCGGAAGTTGTAATTGGACTAAGGTTTACATTGTGCTATCTCATTCGCACTGATCTAGCATTCTTGTTGTTCGTTCGAGGATGGCTAAAAATTACAATGAACTACACCTTAAATCAACTTAAGTAAAGATTTCCACATAACCAGGGCTCGACACTAACAGTAGCCAACTAGCCACAGACTAGTAGAAATTCAGTTTTGGCTAGTGGTTTTTAATTTCCACTAGCCAGTTTGCCTAGTAAACAGACCGAAATTGTCGTAACATCTAAAAACATCTGGGATATCATTAACCGCTTGGCTAGTAAGTTGAAAAGTTAAAGTCGAGCCCTGATAACCCCGTACCTTTCAAATACAAAGCCATAATCCGAAAGGTAATCTGTTGTTTTGCCTCTGATTTCTTTTATCCAAAAATTGTATGCATAATGAAGTATGGGGATATATGGAAATCTAGCCCAACTTAATAGTGACCTTTAGTAAACCAGGCCCCGGTTGTTCAAAGGATGGACAACGCTATACACTGGATAAATCTCTATCCGGTGGATAGCGCAGTACGTTTTGGTAACACTTATCCGCTGGATAGCGATTTATCCGTTGGATAGCGTTATCCGCCCTTTGAACAACCGGAGCC